CAGAAAACAGGGCCCTTAAATTTTACTAGCACTCATAATACCTCCCCTTTACTGTTCATTTGAAGACATTTATGTTGTATAAAAGAAGTAAACCCTTTTAATCATCATCAGGCTTATTTCTGTCAGAAAATTCTGAAGAACAATGAGCACATGGTTGTAGTTTCTATCACATTTCTACTAACTGTTCATGAAGGGAACAGCTGAGTAAACTGTGTAGCATAATTTTTACTTGGTCACCTATTGAGTGATGTCCTCTGGGGACAGAAGCAGTCAAAAGGAAGGCTGCAGAAGGCCTATATAATTTCAAGCCTAGTTAAATTGTACCTTAATAATTATGAGTTAACTTTATAAACAAATGAAAGCTGATAGTAGTGTTTCTATACGAATCATAATTGTTAATATTAAACCACTCTAGCCCTTGAGAGAGCTAAGGAAAAAAGTTCAAGGGTCAGAAGTAAAAAATTGTCCTTAACGCCACATGGCACTTCTGATCTTAATAATTATAGCTGTCTTTGGGTAAAAAGGAACATTAGTCAGGTAGGCAAATGATTGGTCGACTATTTTGAGTAGAAGGGATAAAGAGGTGCCCAAAGGAAGGCATACAGCACAGTTCAGATCTACCATTATTTGGTGGAATAAGAAGCTACAATAGAGGTTAGGAATTACAATAGAGTGTCCAAACTCAGATCAGCATAGGAAAAGAGCAAATGATTATTTCTATAGGCAGACAGCCTAAGACCTTATAAGCGAGGCAATTTTGACTATTCTGACGAATGAGCAAGAAAGAATAAAAAAAAATCACTTGTTGGTTACTGCTATATGATAATGACATTCAATTAAATTTAGTATTCCAGTAGGAAAGTGAAAACTAGTTCAAAGATACAGTTTGTGGCATGAATTGTGGTGATTTCACGGGTATATGTTCACCCCCAGGGACACCAAACTGTGTATACTGAATGTATACAGTTTTTTGTATGTAAATGATACCTGAAATATTTTTTAAATATTTTTAAAATAAAATTATTACTTGGCTTTAACAGAGTATGAAACAGTTTTTCTCCCCTGAGGAATGGGAAGAGCTAAGATGAGCAAAGAGTCCACAGGTTGTATAAAAATTTCAATGCAAGACCAATATACGAAAGAGTACTAAGAGTTCCTATTACTAAGTTTTGGACAAAGGCAATCCATCAATAAAACAATAGAAGCAAAGACATAATCTTGCATGATAGTTAGAAAGATAACGCCATAGTAGAAAAAGAATCGCCCAAGGGGATAAACATATGGAGCACTTGGGAAGAACCAGAAATACTCTTTCAATATCTCACTTAAAAGATAGAGTTAGACATTCAGCTTTTGATCCACTCCTCATCTGTCTAATGCCTGGTACAGAGTATATGAACCAATAAATATTTACTAAGGGGAATGAGGAAAGATTCCTAAGCCACTGCTTGATTTTGATTTACCAAATTCAAAAATCAGAGAGCAAAAGAAACAAAAGTAGTTTAAAAGGTAGTGGTAGACTGAATGACTCTACCAGTTTTTCAATTAAGGAAGATTTTAGGCAAACAAATACTCCCATTTTCGAGAAATATGTGACATGTTAGATCAATCAGTTTGAAAAGCACAAGGTAACTTATCCCACCCACATGCATACATGTATGTTATATGTATGTGCATATTTTTATTGGTTACTAGTTAGTAGTACCAATTCTAATTAGCTAGATAGTACCAGAGGCTAAGAAATGAAGAGTTTCATCAAATGGTTTTTGTGATGTAACAGATCAAGCTATTTAACTGCCTATTTTTAAATTACACATAATTAGACATATTTATTGGATACAATGTGCTAAATGAACACACACATATATACACTCTCCCCCTTATATGTGCATTTATACTGAATTTAGAATTTCAGTAGAATGAAAACCATTTTAAAGATATACTTTGTGTCACGAATTATTCAATTGTGTCATATTGTGCACTGCATGTATATAAAACATATAAACATGATACTTTCCATCTAACTGTAAAATTCTAACCACTGACTCACCTCTCTCTTCATCTGTTCTCTCCACTACCTCTCCTAGTAACAACTATTCTATTCTCTAATTCTATGAGAACAGCTTTTGATGACTCCATATGAATGAGGTCATAATGGTAAAATATATTACTACAAACTGTGTTTCTAGGAGGTTTACTGTATTACTACTGTAAATAATATCCATTGGATATTTAAAAGAGTACATGAATAACTTAAATTATTATTGAGCATTCCTTAAAAGCAAACTAGAAACTTAGTTTTTCACAGATGGTCTCCTGGTAGCCATCCCGGTGACAAACATTTTTTAATATATAATTTATTCTATTTTATTTTTTATAAAGAAAACAAACTATCTTTTTTCATTTTGCACACCAATCCCAGTTCCCACTCCCTCCCTTCCTTCCATTCCCTCCACCTATCTCCACCCCCATCTATGTATGGTCTTACAGTATCATAATTACTTTATAGATATACATGCATCATCATCTTTAGTAGTGAAAATCCTTATCACTAAAATTCTTCAGATCTTTAAAATTTTTGCTTTATTTGAGAGTTTTCTAGCGTGTCTACCTTCTTTCTATTCTTCTACAGTGTTCTTTTGTCTCCTGATAATGCAACTGGAGAACGAGAATCAAAAACAATGGCTTTTTAAATGCACTGGAAAATGCTAGGGAACCACATTGTTTGCTCTACCTGGTAAACTTAATAAAGTGAAGAAAATGCTTTCAAAGATAGATATTTACAGTAGCAAATGTCAGTGCAGACAAACTTGCCTGCTATATCAACCATTCCACTTAAATTGATAAAGTGTGGTGTTTATTCATTGTGCAGTTACACTGAACAGAATCTCTTCTCTTGCTCTCATTCTTTGTAGGGTGACATTCCCTTTATCTAGGAGCTTATAATAAGCAAGCTATATTCAATTTTCAAAAGGCAGATGCGCTCTCCTGGTATCCTAGAAACAAATCAAAGTATGCTTTGTGGAAAGACCTGCAGTTCAAGCCAGTGATGCAAATGGTTATTAATTTGCTATCACACAAACAGAGGTCCGGAAAATTTTAAGTAAAATTTATTCTGAGGACAAGCATCAAATTATTAGTAAGGGGGCTATTAAAAAAGATAACAGAGCAGTTCATAGAAAAAGTAGGTACCACAGAAATTAAACAAAATTATACATTATCTGTATTATTGAGATCAGGATTCATTTTAAAGACTTTTTTTTCCCCAAATTAGGGTAGTAAATTTCACTTAAAATTACACAGATTAGCTCAATTATAAGAGATCTACAAAAGCAACTTCCTAAATCATATGAGGAGCATATCAACCGTCTCAGTATTAGATTTTTATGCAGATAATAGTTACAGAAATTAATCTATATTAACTTATTATATCACAGCAGCTACCATTAAATATTATGAGGTAGGAAAATTCTAATTGTTCCCTGGGGGTCTTCTATGTAAAACTTATATAATTCACACACTTTGTTTGGGACTTGTACCATGATAAAGCGGAAAAATAGTAGAAAATATTTCTTTTGTTTATTCCCATGTAGTCACATTTTCGGGGTTCACAAACATGTCTACTTTTCTGTGATTCCCAGTATCTTCCCACACACATGTTCAGTAAAGGAGGAATTGTGATCCTTCAGTACACAGAAGCCCAGAAAAGTTCAACAAGTACTTTGACCATGTAAAGTATGACTGAAGGTTAAGAGCTCTCCAAAGAGCTCACTGGTTACATGAGGATTAATTGATCAACATAATTATCCACACTGAGTTAATAGGCTAACATATCTGGCAAACTGATGGTGATTAGATTACCTTAATCTGTCTAGATATTCTCGAAACAAGAGTATCATAAGAAAAAGCATCAAGTACTCAACAGCCTCCTGTGGTTGGACTTATGTAAACGGGTACGCTAGCTAGAAGACCACATCAACATTCTGCTCCTTGACATCTAAATCAGTTTTGCAATGAGATAAGCTTTACCGAGACCAGGTTGTTCCACTCCCATCTTTTCACTGCATCTAAATACTACAGACAACTTTCAACTTTCAGGGACAGCCACTGATGGATGGGTAACAAAGGAAGCACAGTCCTTTCAAATTGGTCTTGTTAATGGTTAAAAGGAAGCAAGATAGGAGAATTTGAATGAGAAACCACTGAGTTAATCTGGAGATGTGAAGAACTATAACAGAGAGGGGACAGTTTTCAATTTCCACGGAGAGGTGCTAGACTAAAACACAAATTTATATTTTAAGGTGTCAGGGCAAGATTAATTTTCAAAAGCATAATATGAATAGATGGAGTTTAATTACGTTTTTGAATGTCAAGCTCATAGAAAATAGGAAACAACGGAGAAATAGTAACCACAGGACAGAAGGGCAACAATTCAAATAAATGCACCATGTTACCTACTAGATTGAACACTGAAATAGAAAGAGCACATTAATGGAAAACCTAATGAAATCCGAATAAAATTTTGAGTTTATATAATACTCTTTGGATACCAGCTTCTTGGTTCTTGTTGGATGCTGTGTTTGAACCATAGTGAAACTTCACCTCACAATTAACAACAAAGCCACAAATAACAAAGTTACCAAATAAGAGAAATTTGTTTGAATTAATGTCCTACAAGTCAAATGTTTCAGTGTAATATTTCCGCATTTTACAATTCCTCAAACCCTCTATAAACGCAACCAAGTTTTTAATCCAACACACTCGATTGCTTCCTTCATATGAACAGCTCTGAACTGGCAATTAGCACACAGGCACTGCCATAAATCTTGTAGTACTTAACTTTCCAAAGGCCCTGCAGAGCTATTTCAATGTAAGCATACGTGCTTTGCCAATAGACATGGAGCTGGTGAGGAGCAGCACCCAGCATTAGAAAACAGTCATACAGCAACCAGAAACCCCCACGTACACTGGCAGTGTGCAAAGACTCTGCCGCAACTTACAAGAGATGACATCTGAGCGTTCTGGAGCATAAGCTGCATCTGCTGGGCGAACATGGCTGCGGCAGTCCTCTGTTGAATCAGATTGTTTCTCCCATTAATTTCCAGCTGCGACTTTAAATGGGGTGGGGGGTGTAGGTACTTGCAGTTGTCTCGAGTGCACCGACCCTTAGAGCAAAAATTTAGACAAATTTTTGTTCAGTATTTTTAAAATTCTGACATGACTAAAGAAATAATAGAAGCTTTTTGAACTCTGAGAAGCCACAGTCACAAGCACTATCCACGAAGTCACTCATTTCCTTTTCTTTCCTGTCCTGTAAAACTGATACTCTTAAATCTTCATCTCCCAGCAAAAGGAACTGAGACTAGGAGAAATGAAATGACTTGCCTATGGAGCACATACATAGCTGCTAAAAAATGAACTGGAATGAAAATTTAGTTGGTCTGATTCCATAACTCTCTTAGTTGCTCTGTTTTGCTTTACTTTGATATGCGTCATATCATATTTAGAACATAAAGTATTAGGAAAGGTATGTCATAAAATGTAAGTAGAAATTAAAAAGTTAAATAAAAATCTTTCAGTAAGAGATATAAAATCATTTGTTTAAGACCTGGGATCTGGCTCCATATGTAAAACTAATTAAGAAAATTCAGGGAGGATATTTAAGTATTATGCACAAGTATATAAATTCTGGACTTTATTACCTCGGACATTCTAGGCTCCAAAGCTTTTTATTTCCTCAAAGCCTTATGATATAAAAAATATCCTTGAATCCAATGAAGTTTTGATAATCTGAGAATAAATCTGTATGTCTGGCAGTCATATTGCTCTTCAGGTTCTAGTAGCAATGTCCTTAGGTCATTGAGATACTTGAAGCTAAAGTATATCTTGGATTCAATTTTTTATTCATAGACTAAGCACTTTCAAGAGAGGCTAGTATCTGAATTCCATTGAACCATTCCTAGTGGTTTATGTCTGCAATCCCAGCATTGTGAAGACTGGGCAGCAGGACTGCCATGAATTTGAGGCTAACTTAGGCTACAGAGTGGGGCCCATTTCAAAAAAGCAAATGCAAAATCCCCACACGCCTTTGATGTCACTTAAATGCTGACTCAGCTGCCGATTATGAGGTAGCAAAGTGTCACTGGACAAGTTGTTTATTACAATGTCTTAATACGACCTATCACTGTATTTAACTATGACCTTTACATGAAGCAACTAACAACTACCCTGTTTGGATTACTAAATCCGCCATATGTCTTTTAAGATAAGCACAACTGCAAGTAAAACATTTTTCCCACAGATGTTGATTCTTTACAGTGCATGAAGTTATCTGAGGAGGAAGACGAAGGGAGGAAAAAAAAGCAACCTTTTCATTTTGGACTGAAGAATGCAAGTTGCTAGACTACTTGAATTCCCAGGAGAAAAATGAATTAGTTCACCAAGAGTTTTTGTTCAATACATCCTATGCATTTTACTTATTTGAGATACCTAAATGGTATATGCATTTATTGACTCATATTTCAGTATCTTTCTATGAAGACATTTCTACAATTTCACTGAGAAACATGGTGTATTTCAAAATGTTTAACAAGCTATATATAATACAAACTTGAATGCACTGTAGCTGCTCTTTCTTGAAGAGTCCTCATTAATTCATACATGTATATATATACACTTGAATGGTAATTGAACATATTTATGAGAGAGTATAACCTAAAACCTAATGTGAAAAATTGGAAGTAAATTTATTGCTTTCTATCATTTTTCCTTTTGTTTCTTCCACTGGTAAACTTGTTTTTAACCAAATTAAATTAACTTATAAAATCTAATAATATCCTGACTTCAAATATATCTTTACATTTTATTGCTAAATATTGGAAAATGAAGAAATTATACATACTAAGAGTTAGAAATGTTATTAAGATGATTTGCCTAAGTTCATACAAGTAACTTAGGAAAAGCTCTACAACTTCCACACATACACGGACTGTAAGGAAATTTTCACCTACAATGAAAATCACAATCTCAGGGGTCTTTCCCCCAAAAAACCATGAACATCGTTTCACATCTACTGTACTTCTTTTAAAGGCTATGACAGTCACAGGGATTACAGTACTTAGATCCGTCACTCTCCAGCAACATAACTAAGGCTATCTGGCTCAAAAATTCAAAGCCTAGAAGATGCATAGCACTTGGTGACTTCCTTCATGCCATGGCGGTTTATACTTCTACTTCAGCCTTCTTGCTACTCTTTCCAGACCCCAGCAGCAAAGATTTCCCCAAGGCTCAGGCTAAATCCTGTTCTCTTCTCCCATCTCATTTTCCCAAAGAAATGGAATTGTTTCAAGTTGCAGGCAGCCCTGTAATTGTCCAGATCTTAAATCTCAATTTATCTCTGACCTCTCTCCTGAATTTCAGTCTTTTCATGAGCAGCTGCAGCTGCATTTGGGGCTCTTGCCCTCTAACCAGGTGGAAATACCTTGCCTATCTCTCATCTTGCTGCACACTCCCATTCGGGAACATTGCATCAATTCCTATGGTTTGGGGCAGCAGTGAGGAAAAAAAATCAGGCAGCTGCTGAGCAGGATTGTCTTGGGTTGCAAAGCCTAGATAGCTTAAGACAATTAGTATTATGTAACTATGGAATATGATTTGTAACCCCTCTGCAAAAGAAAAAAAAACAAATACATCTTTTATATTCAGAATTTCAAACAATAGAATGCCTTTTAAAGGGAAAGAAAGGGAACTAGTTGGGATTTTAGCATTTGCTAAAAGTTACAGAATCTTCCTGTAATAAAAGAAAGAAAGAACAAAGGAAGGAAGGAAGTACACTGTATCTGGCACATTTTCTGCCAACCCAGAAAGAAAAAAAATTGAACATGCCTTTATGATTTTATATTAATGTCCATTCCAAATAGTAACTTTCTTTAAGCTTTTCCCCCAGAAACTAATGAGTTTTTTACAAAGCAAAAAAAAAAAACAGTACACAGAAATAGAAAAATATGGTGTAAAAATTACATCAAGTTGGGCTATAAAACCAAAGCATGGGATCTGATGTAGCATGAAATAAAAAAAAAAACGAAAACAAAAACTTATTCGTCTTAATTATGAGATTTTACTTGATTTATAAAGCATTCTTTTTTGAATGACAGAATCCATAATTTAATTCTGTAACTATGCAAATGCGCAGCAATACTACCTTACCAGGGGCTGTTACTTATGTTAAAAAAATCTTATAAAATACAAAATCTACATTTTTCTAACAAAATAATACATGAGGAGACCATGTAATTTAATATCTATCTTATCTATAATATCTATCTAATCTGTGGAATATACTGGTAGAAAGGAAACCAAGCCCCTCATAGAGTTTTTAAAACCCACTTCAGGATTCAGGGTAATATATTCATATGCAGATCATTTGGTGATAATAAACCTTTAGATAAGGTTCATTGTTTCTTCAAGAATCCCAAATTAAGTTACAGATTTAAATATTGTAATTGACATGATGGGAGATATAAATGTAGATTATGACATTTGGTAACCCTTGTTTTTCATTCTTAGCAATAAAATGGCTTTGGTAAATCATGTATCTACAGGATAGGATGTGGATGGGGACTATCTCAAAAGACTGTTGCAGTCCTTTGGAAAACAATGACTACAGATTACAAAGGTTCCTCCCATGATGTCCCTGGGACTACTAAGTATGAGTGGGCCATATGACAAGCTTTCACAATGGATCCATAATAACCCAGTACCAATCGTGACTTTGAAAATTAACCCTCAAATTCCACAGTCAAGTCAATGGTGTCCCAAGCCCTCTGTATTCTTCTCTAGACCCAGAGAGTCAGAGTTGCCATGTATTGGTAAGTATTAGACCATGTCCTGAAGTCATAAACATTAGGAGAAAACATTCTTTGGCCTAAGAGATTTTATCCTAAAAACAGCAGCTAAGGATGGCCAAGACATTTAAGTCGATCTTCCCCACCCCTTAGCCATACACAGTGACTTATTTTAAATAAAGGAGTTAGAGAGTGAGCTCATTTATGCTTGCCTCAATTTCCCTCTTTTCCCACTTTCTTTTCACCTTAAAAACATGTTATTCTCCCCTGGTTGTCATTATGTTATTAAGTTAAGCAACTAGCACAATGATTCAAGAAGTAGTTCTCTGCTCAAATAAGTGCTCCCACACTGATGAATCTTCCAGCTACCTCTTCCCCCACCTACTGCCTTAGAAAATGCAAGCAAAAGCAGCAGGAAGAGGGGATGGCTGATGACATCTGTGAACCACATCCACATCAAGAAGTTGATAGCAGACAAAGGAGGAACTTGTGGAGCATTGTAAAACCTCCCAAATTCAATCTATTGCCTTTTCCCTACCTTCAAGCTTTTCACACGTGAATAGAAAGCCTTTAACCGAGAAAGAAAAGTAGCATTGTAATGATTCAAATCCTACCTAAGTCTGGGAGTTATGAGAGAGTCTGTCAGCTAAAAGAATACTATGTAGTTGGTAGAAAAAAAACCTATGAAAAGTACTTTTTATGTTCATGAGAATGTCCTGCCTTCTATCAAAATAAGAAAAGGACCCTAGGAAGCTGAAAACTACCCTCTGTCAGTTACTGCATCTTTAACAAGAAAGCTGTTTATAGAATAACTTCCTTCTTCATATACATTTGGATTTGTGGGGGTAGGGATGAAAATAACCTCTCAAATACGATTATACCTGAATTACCTTTTCAAAGACATAATCTTACTGGTCTGCCAAACACAGCAGCTAAAAATTAAATGTTAAACACATCACATATATGATTTGTTCAAGAAGAAAAATAGTTATTCTGTTTTAACAATCATGTAGTAAAAGAAGGAAAAAGTCCTGATCTATGATGTCTCACTATAACATCTGTGTGCTCACAGATATGGCTTCTCAGAGGATGTAGGAGTGAATATAGAATTTGCATTTCCCAGGCACTAGGATGTCTGCTTTCTGCAACCATCACAGACCTATTGAAATCTAGGAAATATCTGAAAGGACAAAAGGAGAGTCGACATCAACCCAAGCTGAGTGTTAGCCAACTATCAGCAATTAACAAATCCCCATTTTGTTTCTCTTGGAGTTCTGGTTTTCAGATAATAGGGATAATCTGCACAATTTTCTCTTCCCAAT